TCCGAGATAAACAACTCCAATCGTTTTGATCTCTCTGAGAGCAAATTTGCCATGCCCCTAATCAGCCATTTCTGAGAAAGGCTTACTTGAACTGCAGAGAGTATTCCCAGAGAGGCCACGCTAGTGATTTACATAATAGCATTATCATATTTTCCATATTATTCTCTCCTTCTTTCTGCATGCTAATATTTTGTGTGTGCTTTTTTTTTTTTAACCTGCAGCTACTCTGAGAGCCAGGGGTTGTGTGACATCCATATTCTTTCTCGAGTTGCTAGAGAACATCTGGAGCTTTGTAATTCTTATGTGCAATTAGTTTCCCCTCTTCTGACCTTGCTCATACCCAGTTAATCCTTGGCAAATATGTGGCGTTGYCCATTTGCCACATTTGCATTTTATTCAGTCTTTTCTGATCTCTCAAGAGTCGATAGCTTTGAATCATCTTTTAAAAATATTTGGCATATTGCTCATCTTTGTTTCCAGATCATCAGTKCATAAACTGGGCTATCCAAGACCTCGGAGGCAGCATTCATATTCCATACTCCTAACCTGCTGCCAGAATGAAAATCGATCTTGGAACTTTCCTCCCAGCTTTCTTGCCTCCCCTTCAGGTCGTTAATCCACAGAAATACTTCCCTTCTTACAGGAGGGCTCTGTCACTCCTGGGCAAGTGTGCTGATGAGCCGAATTCCCGAAACTCCCAAGTCTGGATCAAAACTTGAACAGCCACACATGGCAAACCCCTGATGCACTACCAATGGGATCTGCCAGGTAAGGCCGAGCAGAGATGGGCTTCCCTGCTGCCCTCCTGCCATGRCAGCCAAGGACTGCTGGCCTCCATGAGTGCCCTCCCAGCCTGGCCCCCTTGGGTTGTGCCTGTTGTGGTGTTTCTGTTCTTTCCCCCCTCCCAGACTGGCTGCCAGCTCCTGGGCCCCTTGCCAGCTGCCAGTGTGTGCATGTTGTAAGCTCCTCCACCCACACTGTGGGTGCCCCAGYCCCCGCGGGGACAATCACTCGCTGTGCCCGCTGCCCGACATGGGCTGCCCACGCCTGCACCGTGTGGGCAGGGGCTTCAACCTGCCCTTTCTCCCTTGCAGGAGAAAGGTGAGTATCAGGTCCGAGTAGGGCGTGACCGATGTCACACCAGCTGCCATGTGAGTGCCAGACCTCTGGTGACATTCTGCGGGCTGTAAACTTGAACTGTGCCTTGAGACAGTGAAGCGATATCCCACCATCCCCAGTGCTTCCCAACCTTTGCCGATCCGCAGCTGGTGGGACCCACCCAGCACCCCCAAAGGCTTGTGCTGCCCTGAGGGGACACCAGCCCCAGCACCCCATGGCCTGGGGGCTTCTTTGCCTATGGAAAGGGGTTCCCAGGGAAAGGGGTTCCCACTATGGCTCCAGCCTGTGTCCCTGTAAGAAAGGGAATTTATTTGCCCTGACTGGGCAAGGTGCAGGCAGAGAGGAGGGAGCTCACCTTTGCTGTGCTCCTGGAGAACAGTAATAACCTTTGTTTCCCAAATGATGGAGTGAGCTTGTGAAATATCAAAGGCAGCATGTGTGACAGGGCATAGTAACCCATGCTGTTACCTGGGGTAAGACTAAGACATCCCCCGCTGTCCCCCACCTCCTTGGGGGTCTCTGCAGCCGCCACTCCTCTGCCAGTCTTCTCATGCTTGCAGCCAGTGCCATCCCCAGGGCTTTCCACCACCCATTTTTGCAAGGGTGGGACCATTCCCGGCCAGGGAGACGTCTCTGTGCCACCTGTTGGCAGCCAGCAAACCCTCCCTGGGCAGCAGGGAGGTAAATATGATCCTCAGGGCTGCAAATGGCTTCTTGGAAGAGCTCTTCTGGGATGGGAAACAAATTGTGCTTGGAAACGGAAGGCTGGTCTCTTAGAGGAGGCAGAAAGCAGTTCTATAATGTGAGAGGAAAGATGGATAGTGACCCACCAATGCTATCTGAGCTTAAACTTAATATCTTCTAGTAAATGGACCTTGCAGGAAGTCTTTTGGCAGTCTCACCCCATTCAACAGTTCTCTCTTTCATTGCAGCCCTATTTCCTTCCTTTCCAGCTGTTATGAGCCAGGAGGGATGGAGGGCCAAGGGTGGCACAGGTGGCTTAATTCCCCGAAGCCCCAGCAGCTTTGATGTTGAGTACATGTGGGAAGGAAGACTTGGTGAGGGAGACCACTGGTACATAGGCACCTTTCAAGGAGCATTCCTGAATTACAGCTGAGACCCACATTTTAGTAGGRACAGTAAATATCCTATCTGGGGAGACACACTCAGGGTATGTTTTTGACAGGAGTAAGAAAGGTAAGGTCCCAGCCACGCTGTGGTCAAAGCGGGACTTTTCAGATCCCCAGACTTCCATCCCTGCAGCACAGGGAGCTGCAAACACTGTCAGCAGTGAGTGTTCTCCTGTGTGAAGCAGAGCTGCTGCCCCTGTAAGGTGCTGCACTGACAGTCACTGAGGAGGCTCCATTTTATTACCTAACAAATTGAAATTGCTGCTGTAGTATTTTTACAATTGATCTGTGCCCACCTTCATTCTCAGCACGACTCCTGCTTCTTCAACCAAATTTCTTCGTGGCTGGGTTTGTTGTGGATTTTCTCATTATTCCCTGACTAGGTAAGATTCCAACCCCTGACCTCCCCCACCTCATTTGCAGCAACTGCATGCTGCAGGAGGTTTGCAGAGCCATTTAGAGACCCTGCTTTTGTGAGTGCTGTTATCCTTGCAATCTTGCATCACCCTGACAGCCCCGTGGGCTTTCTGCAGGGGAAGTGTCAGCAGAGAGCAGAGGCCTTGCAGCTGGTGGTACCACCTGCCTGAGCAGAGCTGCACATGCTGACCTCAGGCTTTCTTCTGCTCCTTGGCATGCTGTGTGCTGGGATGCGGTCCTCCCGGCATGAACGTGGGATTTTGGTTGTGTAGGGGTTATCTGGACTCCAGCAGCAGGTGTGGTTTGGTCCCATGTACATATGGAAACCTGAGAAGGGCATGGCTGCCATATCCTGCTGCTTCTCTTCTTTTTCTAGGCAAAGGCACCTATTGTATACCTTGCCCCATTAAGTCACAGGGCCTGAGAGAGATTTATTGCTGTCCCATTTGCCTGGTTTTGGTTTTACAGTAGTCTAATGTTCACTTCTGGATAACAGTTTGAGACAAATGCTTGAAAAACACTGGGAAGCAAACAGAAGTGAGTAGATGTTTTCTACATTGTTTTATTTTTGTGTGCATGCCTGGTTCTTCAGTAAGTGTCTGAAGGGGAAAAAAAAGATRTAAGTGATGATTTGTTCCTCTCTTTTTGGAAAAGGTCCAGACTCTAGAACAGGGCTAAAATGCCAGGAAAGAGTTTGCTGGATAGTCAGGCTTATTTTATTTGATTTTATATATTCCTTGGATAACATATTGTCTTTGAGATCCTGAAGAAGTCATTTTAGATCTTTATTCAGCACAGCTTATTTGCTCTTCTTCTCAGTTTTCCTTATTTTTAGAAAGGTGAAATGTGTTCCCAAATTAAATCGTTACTGGGATGGACTTCAGCCAAGAGGATCCATGGTTCAAGCCGTAAGGCACAGGAAACGTAAAACAATGGAGTTTTATATTGTGTTTTATTTGGCAGGGTGAAGAAAGATATGGCCTTGAAAGATTTGTATTCTTACATAGCTATAATATACTTTAAAAGACAGTAAGGACTATTTTCACTTCTCACTTTGCTTTAAAAAAATAAGCACTCACAGAAATGCTGGAAATGTTGGGATTGCCAGATTCTCCTTAGTTCCAAGTAAAGGTTCATGTCTGGGGATCTCAGAGATGCTTACAGTAATGTCCCAAACATTAGCTGAAGTGGGCTGATCCTTTACCTTTTTGCTGATGTGCCTGTCCCTGCTGCAGCTAAAGGCACAGCTTGCAATAGCCTGGCCCCAAGCCAGGCTCCTCAACCAAGCAGCCATGGATTATATTCCTTATGTCAGCCTCTCACTTCAGTCATGTGCAGCCCCTCCTCCAGACGGGACAGTTTTGCAGCGACAGAGCAAAGCCCTGCRAAGCTCGCTCACCCTGTGTCAGGTGAAGGTTTGACACAGCATGCCCAGGAGTCACCGGAATGCACGCCACTGCCAAGAAGCAAGAACATGCTTCCCTTCCACCATGGCTGTAGCCAAATCCTCTCCTTTGTGGTGCTCTGGAAAGCAGGGCAGCCAGTGCCTGCAGCTGAGGGCACATGAGCATGAAGCATTTGCTGGTGACGCTCCCCAGGGCTAGGGTGACTGTCCCTGGCTGCTCCATGGGCTGCCTGCCAGCCAGCTGAGACCTCACTGCTTCCCCAGCTGAGCTGCTAAAGCAGTGAGATTTAAAAGCATACTACAAAATTGGACTAATAATTACAAATTAACTGTCCCTGCTAYGCAGCTCACTAAAATGCATCCTTACACAGGAACAAAGTATCTGAGCAACAAAAACAAACAGCCAGCAAAATGGGGTCTGGTATCCCTTTTCCAGCTTTCTGAAAGGTGTCGTAACTTTATACTGAAGTCACTTTACCTCCAAGTACCCTGGTGTTCAGAAAGAGCGTGTTCATCCCTTTATCAGCCAACCCGATAGGCATCAATCAGTAATCAGCTGGAGCCAGCTACTCCATGAGCCAGAGACAGTGGGTCCGCCGCAGGCCCCCACCCAGCAGGGATGCATGATGTCCRTGATGAGCACCTGGCATCCACGACAGAGTGAGGGCTTGGGAGAAACCACTCATTTCCAGGCAGGTCACACCAGAGCTCCTCCGTGATGCATCACCCCATCTAACTGGGGTACTGAAATTCTGCAAAACACACAGGATTGCTTGGCATCAGATGGCTTGCAGGCTCCTGGTTCAATACGGTGCCTAAGGCTCTGTACCACACCCAGGATGCATGCTGCACATACCAAGATSTCTTTTGCTGTGTTGAGGGACTCTCTCAGATGGTCTATAGGGCTTGTGGTGGAGCCATGTGCTCCCCACTGCTCCTGCAAATGAAGGTCTCCATCCCAGACTGGTTTGTCCAAGATTCAACCCCTCTGTCTCACAGAGGCACTTGAAGCTCCTGCAGCAGAAGCTCATGCTTTCTGGCAAAAAAGGTCTTTTAAAACCTCACCAGAAACAAAAGGAACACCGTTTACATTACTTTTAAAAATAATATAAATGTCAGTAAAGATCTGGTGTTAGAGGCAAGACAAATAACATGAGAGAACCTTTGACCTAGTCAACTCCCATTTCTTAAACTCTCACAAAATTGCCATTGGCCTATGCTTATAGATTTATACTTCAACTCTTAGAAAAACTGAAATTTCAGTGAAATGGTGGTCATCAACTATTTTTAGATTATCCCCCATGCAGGCACTAAAATACAGTGATCACCAAGAACGCTAAAAATTCTAAATAGAAAATTATAATTGTTGATTTTGAGTGGCAGGTTTCTCTCACACCCTTTGTTCCAGAGAYTGAAGCAGCAGAAATGCATTTAGCAATGCACAACACAAACCTCTGGTTTGATGAGAGCCTTCCACAAGAGGAGAATTGAAAACATTTGAATGGTATRGATGAAAGAAAGATAAGGGAATTTACTGGAGCTAGTAATTATGAGGAAAATAGCCTATGATGCTTGCAGTCACTATCTCTAAATGGAATCAGGAATGAACCTGAAGCATAAGACACTTAAAAGGGTAAAAAAATTAAAAAGCTGCAGATGGCACATGAGCTTGCAAAAGGCCCTGGCCAAAAGCACTGCAGAAGGCAGCTGGTTAGGAGGATTCAGAGCAGGACCAGACTTTGATACCAAGTAATGGGAACAGCCAAGACTACATCAGACACGTTTAAAAATAAACCAAAACAAGGAGGTCACGTTCTTTCATGCACCGTGCCAAAAGTCAGCCACTAGAGAGGCCTTTGCTGCAGCGGGAAGGCTTAATTTGGGATCCAGGGTTTCCAGGGCTTTACTTGGAAAAATGGATGCATTCAAAGGATCAAAGATGGTGTAAAGGGACCATTTTATGAGATGATGATGGTTTCCACATCCATCCAATCTTCTGAGAGCCACCATTGCTCCCACCTCATGTGCTCTTGTATGTTCATACTCACCTAACATGCAGATTAGGTCCGACCTGGGCCTACAAAATCAGGAATCAGTCCTCAAACCAGCTAGGCTCCCCTTCCATCTCCCTTCTTAGGAAACATGTCCTGCCAAGCAGGAAGCTCCCTCACTCCCTTTTCCAGCAGCCCCTTGGCCACACCATCAGAAAAAAAAAAAAGCTGTCACACACATGTCTTTGTTTCCTTTCATACTTTGTAAATTTTTTTTGTTTTTATTATTATCTCTTCCTTTTAAGCATCCCTTTAAGGGTGAAATGAAATCCAACCATTTACAGAGAAAATGATTTCAGTATGTACATTTGATTCATCCTTACAAAAAGTTCATTATTACTTGCTGTTTATAAATTACAGAGTTGAAAGGAGCTTTGCAGATGCTCTTATTTGTTCTTTTCTTTTTAGTTTTTGGCAAGTCCATGCATTCTTTTTCCAAAGCAGGGTGTTCTGGAACCACTCCAGAAGCAACACCTGCAGTAGGTCCAGGTGGACCCCAGGCTCAGAATTGCTGCTGGACCACCTCCAGGATGATACTGCATCATCATCCACACAGACAGGAAAAAAACAGTGGTTCAAATTCTTAGTCTCAGAGTATTTCAGATCCCTTCATCATCCATTACCTGTAGTCCCCAAAGCTTTAAAATGACAGTGTATTGCATTAGAAACAGTTCTCCTTTCTTGGTGCTGGATCTAAGCTCCTCCTGCCATCTTCTTACCCTCCTGCTCCCCTTCCCTTTCTGTAGTAAGAGTTTGTCCAATGTCTCAGAAATCAGAAAGGAGGGGTTTAGGGAGTGTAGTGAGAACACAATGACGGAGGGATACAGAATCCATTCTCCCACTCACTTCCCTCCCTTCTCACCAAGGTTAGAGGTCAGTGAAGCCAAGACAAGCCATCCCTTCCCTCTTCATCACCAGTGTTCAGTACCAAACCAGGAGTGACCCTGGACACGTGTCTTCACAGTGCAGAGGCATAGCAGCCAGAGATTGCCGGCAGGAGCTGGGACACAGGGAGGGAGCCCCGGGACACTGAGGAGGGGAAGAGACACACCATCCCACAAGGAAACCACGGCAGGTAGAGCAGAATGAGTACCCATTCTTCTCTGACGCCCTCCCTCCACCCCAGCTCGCTTTCCTTGTTTACCCATCACAGAGAGACAGAGTGGGCTGACCCGGGCAGCACAACAGCAAATACCTCAGCAGGACACAGGGATCAGAGAAAGCAACAGCAGGAGTGGGCTTAAGCATGTCATCCTCCATACCAACCACAGGCACAAAGTCACTGTGTCTTTTCTGTCACTTGGGTGCGGCATTACCCCCAGAYGGGCATAGATGTCTAACATGCCCTACTCCCTCTGCTTTAGCAAGCTCACCTGCACAGGCCCACCAAAGCCCATGTCCTTCCCTTCACTCAAGGCAAAGGAGGAAGAGGCATTCTCCAGTCCAAAGCCATGCATGGGGACACAATTTCTTAGGTGGGAAGCACAAAGAAAGAGATAGGCAGACAAAGAAGTGCAAGGATTGGGTGTGCCACACACTGCTTCACGTACTTCCTGGCCCTCCTTTGCACTAATTTGAAGGTAAAACAGATTTCAGGATTGAAAATGCACTAAGATGAACAGCACTACAGGAAAAGGGTGGTGATGCATTCCCTCCCTCCACTGGACAGTTTGGTCCAAGAYAGACAGAAGGATTCACTGCCCACTGTGGGCTGCAACAACCCACAGACATCAGGCTCTGGTAGTCTGATCCCACTTCCAGCCCAGTGCCAAGACAAGGTTTTTGGTCTCTCTCTTCTCAAATCTAAGAACCTGATTCAGATAAGTTGAAGGAGCCTCAATGCTAACCTCAGAGTTCAGCACTGGGAAACAACAATCTGCCACAAACCTGCCTCTGGCTTTGCCTCTCTCACCACCTCATAACCCCACAGGTTTTTGACTTCCCCTTTGTGGCACTGCCTGGAGGAGTGACTGCCCCACCAGGAGCCGGCTGCAGAGGTCCCAACACAGCAGCACAGGCAAGGCTGAGCAGAGGGTAAGCCACCACCTTGGAAAATCACTGTGTGAAAGTCAGCTTTGCAGTGTCTGCTCCCTCCAGGGACAAGAAGGAAGATTTTTAATGACAAGCACTCTAACTCCCTAAGGATAATAAAAACAGGGTTAGCCAGACAAATTGGACAGAAACATTGACTGGTTTGGCCTTATATCAAAAAATGTTTAAACAATTCTTGAGAAAGAGAAACAATAAAGAATGCATTTCATCTGTAAAGCCCCTTCCTCCCACACTACAACAGAAGTCTGGTTTATATTTAATTTTCTAAGAAAAAGGAAGTGAGGAAGTCCAGGAGGCAATCAGGGCAGGAGTCCTGCAGAAGAGCCCCATCATTCCTATTCCAGCAACACATTCTTCTCCAGCCCATGTGGGCAGAAGGAAGAGGCAAATCAGAGGGAAGAGAATGATGGAGCAAATGGAGGAGAGAAGGCAATGGGCTGTACTTCAGGAATAGGAGAATCAGATTCTGCAGCTGGGGGCTTATCAAACTCACAAGAGACAAGGGCCCATAGCTCAACACTGAAAATATAACTAGTGTGCACTGAAAATCCTCACAGMCAGCCATGCATGGGAAGGGCTGCTCAGAGGAGAGGCTGCTCCCACTGTGGAAGATAACAAGGTGCAGCCCCAGCACAAGTAAACTTTAGCTCTTGCTGAAGTGAGGCTCTGGTGCTGCCAAAGCATCCATGCAGACTGGCTTGTYCTTCTCTTCTGTCCCCAGCAAAGCCTGGCACTGGCCTTGTATTATCATCACTGAGGCACAGCAAAAGCAAAAGATCCAAGAGCAGACCTCAGGCTCCCTCCCCAAAGTAAAAATGGGATATGGCTTCTTCCTTCCATGCTTTTCTGCTGCTGAACTGCATGAGCTAACACATCCGCTCTCCTCCACCTGTCCCTGGGGAAAGCATGTTTCCCTYGTGCTGCATCCTCAGTGTTGTGGCTTTCATCTTGCTCAGTACAGGCTCCTTCTTTCTCAGCTGGATTCCTGTTTCTCTATTATCTCTCTACTCAAAGACCTCCACAGTCGCTCGGAACCAGGACCTCATGACTGTGACAGGAGCTCCTTCTGCTACATCAGTAAGTCTGGACTTTAAAAAGCCACAACTTCCCTTTGGGGGAAGAGCCTTGTCTGTCCACCCAGTTCCCAAAGAGGCTTCTCTGCCTGTGGGGAAGACACAACAGAAGTGAGAACAGTGATCAAAAAAAAAAAAAACAAACCACAAAAAAAATACTAACAAAAAGAGAGGTTCCTTCAGTTCTTCTAAGCAGGCATTATGGCACAAGATGTGGAAGGAGGTAAGGTGAACTGCATCTCAATTTGATCAGAAAAAGTCACTGATCTTCATTCTGTTCCAGTCTCAGCCTTATTAGGCAACTAAGTTACTTTTGATGACATTTTCCCCTACTCTAGAGAGGGGACTAGGAGGGAAAGAGAGAGAGAGACATAGGCAGGAATGAAACATAAGGGTGGCACATGCTGGACGACACTGGACCATAGAGCCACGACAGAGTTAAATGGAATGAAAACCCTCCTGCTTTGGAACAGCTGGCCAGAAGGGTCACATTTCTTTGTGCCAGTGCCTTCCTCTTTCTTCTTTTCCATATGATTTCTGCTTGGAACACTGCAAGKCTAAGAGTCAGTCTTTCCACTGCAAGGCTAAGAGAGCATGTCCATTATGCTTTTCACCATCTGCCCACTACAACCCAGGCTCCAGGCATCCTGTCAAGCCATTTGCTAAGGAAGGGTGGTGGTAAGGGTGGAGACAAGAATCTGCCTCCCCAGGGAGCTGAATCAATCCAACACAAGAGCAAGCCAGATCCTCACTGCCCAACCCTGGCAAACTGAGCAGACACCAGCCCAACCAGCTGCAACTAGTGCCCTCCTAAATCTCCTCTCCGTGGTCTTGTCTGCTCGGCCCAGGCTCAGACGTGGGCTGCACATACTCTCTGGATTGCATGGTGGTCCCCAAACAGTCTCTTGGCCCCACGGAGAATCTGCCCATGGCCTCTCTCTTCAGGAGCTCACTCACAGCCTAAGAACAGACAGATGGATCCTGTGCCTTGACAGGCTTTGTTCCCCCAAAACAACCATTAGTGACTCAGAACTTTGCCCTTCCCTTCTCCCTTTTATTACCCCATGGTAAGAAGCACGTGAAAGCAGGAGTCCTGCTACAGGCACAGCCTGTGAGGCTCTAGAGGCAGCCATAGAGACATGCAACAGGCCTACATGTGTAGCACTGCTATGCAGAGCCAATACTATCCCTGGTCCTTTCCTGTGAATTCCCCAAGAAATCACCCATGCCACGACTAAGATCACAGCTTCTGCCAAGCCCCACTGTGTCCTCTTCCTCCCCCCCAACATTGGTAACAAACACCCAGGTGCACACCAAACCCATGCACATGAGCACTCATGCACACAGGCAACCATGCACTTGCAAACATACACTCCCACCATCTGATTGAGTCCCCTGCAGCTTATCCCAGCCCCAACAGAAGCATGTGCTGCAGGGAAGATGCTTTGGCTTCTGCARGACAAGTCCATGCAGTCTTGTTGGGGCAAGGGCAAAAAATGAGCAGAAAAAACCCTCAAACCCAGCTTTCTCCTCTGCTTCCTCTCTGCCCACCCCAGCACTGGTAGTGTACTGAGGCAAGATCCACCCCAGGATAGATGCATTAATGCTGTGGAGGGGGCTGCAYCTTGGAAACAAAGGATTTCCCTTCCCCAAAATACACTCTGAACATAAAGGTATTAAAAAAAAAAACCAAAAAAACACAATAACAAACATCCCAAGATGCTTTTGCACATTCACTCAACCAAAAGAATGCCATGACACACATCTGCACATGCAACCATCACAAGAGTTTGTGCCTGCTGACTCATGCTCACTGAATAGCCCTGGCTTGCATCTATGCTTGCTCCAATCCACAAAGGATGAGGATGGATAGGAATAGCTGCCCTCTCTCCCCATGGGACCCTCTCAGTCTCYCCCAGAGGAAAATCTGCCAGCTGGCTGTGTATTCTCTCCAGCCAGCAGGAGAGATTCGGAACATGCAAGAAAGTCTTTATACTACTACAGAACAGGTCCCCAACATCTCTCTTCCTCCTGACCAGGCCTCCCTTTATGTGACTGAGGAATTTGGATTCCCAGACATCACCCTGGGATGAAGGGAAAAAGAACAGGAAGGGAGGGAGGRCAGAGACCCCAGAAAAATGGCACACCCTGCCCATAAACAAAGGAAACAGAAGAAAAGGAACAGACGAAAACACCCGACTCCTTCCCTTTCTCGTGAAGTTCTGATTTCCACCCAAGCCTGAGCCTCGGTGGCCTCACCCAGCACCCTCCGCCTTTCGGTAGGGGTTCTCCAACAAGTAGCGGAACCGCTGGTAGTTCTTGAGCAGGTACTTGGGAGCATACATCTGCTCCTTGGGGTCAGCAGGGGGATACTCCTGCATAGTACCATCAAACCAGCCACCAGTCCGGATCAGCTCCCGGATATAATTGAGGTCTCGTTTATCCTCGTAGTCACCCCAGCGGGGGAAGTCCCCATTCTGGGCTGACACCAGTTTGAAGTAGATCCCCTCTGGGGTGAAACACCAGGAGCAGTGCCAGCCAGCAAAGTGGAGGGGGCTGCCCAGCGACCACTGTACCAGGATGTGTCCCGTGCTGTTCTCATACTGCCGAAACCCAGGCATGGTGTAGTACTCACGGCGTCGCAAACGTATCCCATCGGTAGCATAGACAGCCTGCAGCATCCCCATGGTGCAGCCCGAGACCACCTCCAAGGTGCCCGGTTGCTTCCAGAAGAAGCCATAGAGCGACTTGCGCATGTGAAAGGCGAAGGGCTCCGTCCAGCCATCATAGAGCTTGAGGAAAAGCACRCCATCACGGGCCGGGATCTCATCAGCATCGTCAATGATGAAGACGTCRTCCGGGCGCAGGTTGCGGAGGCGAGAGATGCCATCCCGGGTGAGGAAGGTACGCAGGTAATCRTCAGCGATCCAGCCGTCCTGGCGGCCACCAGGGGGAAAGTGGTCCAGGAAGACGTAGAGCACCTTGTGGCGGATGTAGTCGAAGGAGCCGTTGAGGAGCATCTCGCGGAACTTGAGGGGCCGTGGCTCTCCGTACGCTGTGAAGTTGGACTCGCACACCACAAAAGCATCTACCACGTCTCCCAGCTCGTGGAAGCGGACATCCAGCAGGTCAAACTCGTGGTTGACGTTGATAGCATTAATGACCCGCCGGGGGATCTCCCGTGGCACGAGGCGGTCCTTGGTGGGCAGGTTAGAGTACTGGACCACGGTGGGGACCCCGCAGCTGGGGCCGTGCCAGCCCGGCAGACAYACACACTCCACCCACTTGCGCCGCTTGGTCCCGCTGGCGCTCAGCGGCTTCCGAGCCGGCCGCCCTGAGGCTGCGCCATCCACTCGCTCCTCCTGCCGACCTCCCGCGGGTGGCTTCTCCAACACCTTGGTGCCTGGTTTAAAGCAAACGCCACCGGCTTTGGTACGGACAAAGTATTCCACCGTGTCTTCTGGCAGCATGAACTCAGCCTTGTGCAGCTCTTCGCTGGCTCTGCTGGGAGGCAGGGGCTGGAGCAAGGGGGAGTGGGAGTACAGGGGTGTGCGGAGGAACTCTGCACCCCCTGGCTCAGGGCTGACCTGAGGCGTAACTGGGGCATTGTTCCAGAAGAAGCTGGAGACCAGGTTGGGACTAAGCGAAGCCAGCTCCCTGGGGAAGGTGACATAGGAAAGGGCCTTGAGGAAGTGCAAGAAGGAGATGAGGCAGAGACCAGCCATGCAGAGAGTCAGAAAGAGTTTATGGCGTCTCATCTTCATCCTGTGGAAGAGCCATGAAAAGGAAAGTCACATTCAATGGTTACTGAGGTGCAAAAAGTTTACCTCTGTTAGAAAAACAGGTTGCGGATGGCAGAAAGCTGATCCAAATTCAGCATGCATCGTTAGAGATTCRACTCCAAGAACTACACCCCCACCCCCTGGCACCTTCAGTGGGCCTTTGGCTTCAGCTGCRTTACACCAAGCTGAACCTCTGCTAGATCAGTCTTGTAAGTCCACAAAGACAAGAAAAGCACTGGCAATGGGCTAGAAAGAGGAAATCCAGAACAACAGGAATTAATGATCTAGTAAACTCACCACACTTGGCAGACTTGTCCCTGCTCAGCAACAGAAACAAAATATATGTAAACCCCCTCAGAGATGCATCATCAGAGGGTTGAGGGAAACTGAAGGGAGCAGTGAGCAGAAAGGGTGAGAGAGCTGAAGGGGCACAGCTGAAACATGACCGGTGCAAGAGAGGCAGTTTTAAAGGACCATAATCATTAGTCAGACTGCCAAAGGCAGCCTACGCTCTCCAGATCCTTTCAGTGTTTGTTCAACACACACCCTAGAAAATCCATCCTTGTTCTTAGGAAATACTACCCAAGTTCAGGTGGGGGACAGAAAAACAAAAATAAAATTCAGATCCCAYAACATTTATTCTTCTCCCACCTGTGATTCTCAAGTCCACTTTATATGTTGCCTTTTGCTTTCCATTTTCTGTGGACCAGATGCTAAGGTTTTTCTGCATCTGGATCAAGGTGACAAAAATAAATGCCTAGTTGTCTCTGCCGGTAATACTGTGCCATCATGATGGATCCATGTCAGGCCAGGAAGAAGCCAGTGGTGCAGAACCCTTCCCTCCAAACAACATGAAATATTGCCGTCATCCTCCCCTCCACCACCTCCCCTCCTCCAGCCCAAGCCGGGAACACAGAGCTGCTGTCAGGCAGAGAAGTGATTGAAGACTACAATTCAGAAAAAGGGG